GGGACCTTGTCCTTGCACACTCCAGCCCTGCTTCTCTTGGCCCCACGCGGCCTCAGCAGAGCCCAGGGCTGGGTGTGTGTTCCTGCCTTGGGCGCTCCTGCAGCAGCCCACGGTCAGGGCAAGTGAAAGGTAAAAGTGCCTGGTTCACTAAGGCTCACATCACATCCATTTTCCTTTCAAGGGAAGAAAAAGGAAGGAGATATAGAAAGTACAGATTGACACCTATGTGTCAGTAGGTGATAAGGGACAGAAGGAGGGAGCTCAGAGCTCAACAGCCTCTAATTGATGGCCCTTTAGGAAACAGTAGCTGTGCCTGTGAATTGCCTCAGGCTGAGCTTTGTCACAGACAAGGGCTTAGAGATGATGAGAGAGGAGATGGAATCCTCAGCAATGGAGACACTGGCACTGATGTATCTCTGGCATCAGCAGGAATGGTGGCAGGTTTCTCTTCTCAGCACTAATGCTGGCAGGAATCCCCATCTGCCTCTATGTGCCTTATCGTGTTCTCTCTGCTCTGAAGTGCAAAAAGGAAAAAGCTTTGAAGGAGCCCGTAGGATGGAAAACATTCACATGGAAAATCTGTGACACGCTCAGGACTCTCCACTACTTTAGAAACCTCCTTCTAAACCATGGGGTGGTGCAACAGCTGCATGAGAATGTTCCTGTTACAACCAATATCGTTACCATTGATATTACCAATTCTATTGGCAATAACAATCTGCATCATTATTCATATCATTCAAGAAGCTTTTTGTGATAAACCCGTTGTCGAGAAAACCAAAAAGACCAGGAAGGAATCATTGCATTCGACATGGAAAAGGGGCTTGGAGAAAGGGACCTGGGAGAGAGACATTCTTCCCCGGCAGATGCACAAGGACAGGGGAGAAGAGAGAGACAGAGACAGAGACAGAGACAGAGACAGAGACAGAGACAGAGACAGAGACAGAGACAGAGACAGAGACAGAGACAGAGACAGAGACAGAGACAGAGACAGAGGAGTCTCCTGTTCCCAGAGGAAATAGCAAGGACCCCAGACAGGGGAGAAAGATGAATGGGGATGAAGGCCCTGCCCTCCCCAGTGCCCGGCCCTGGCTGTGCAGCAGAGCTCGCCATTCCAGCTGGGGACGTGAGGATTCCCCTGCGAGCTGAGCAGGAACAGCCCCTTGCCGTGAGTCAGGCCCCAGAGGCACGGAATGCTCCCAGTGCCAATGGCTCAGGGAGCCACGGCGGCTGCTGCTGGACCAGCGAGAAACCCAGAAGGAGCATTGCAGGCACTGCAAGGACAGCTCACGGCTCTGCCTGCTCCCGCCGCTGCTGCTTCCTCTGCTCCCCCAGAGAGGCGTTTCCAGCAGCTCGGCTATCTCGGGGCTGCGCCGTGCTCTCTCACTCTTCCTCACTCAGCAAACACGCAGCTTGCTCTCGCCATGCACCTCGCCTCTCTCATCCTCACCCTCTTCCTGGGACAGCTCCTGGGTAAGTCCCGGCACTTCCCCAAGGCTTCTTCTTCTTCTTCTTCCCCGCAGGAAACCCTCAACAGCCTTATCAGCACCATGTGGGGAAACAGGACTGAATAGAGGGAAAGGACTGAGAAATATCGGCTCCTCTTTGTGGTTTTGCAAGTGTTTCCTCAAGAAGATCTTCAATTAGAAAAGGAAAAGGGAAGATATGGAGGAGAAGCTGGAGATTTCTTTTCCGTCTTTTCTCTCTCCTCCTATCCATCTCCCTCTTCCTTTCTCTTCTGACCCTCCTGCAGTCACCTCAGGACATCTCAGCTGCTTCTGCAATCCCACTGTCCCCTCTTTCTAATGTGAATTCCCTGGTCCTGTCAAATCTACCCCAGGCACTTTTCAACTCTCATTTCACTGACATTAACAGGGTGTCCCGTTCTGCCTCCAGGCTCACACAGCTCTGCCACGGCTCCCAGTGCTCTTTGGGCTGGACACACAACCAGGGCTTCTTTCCAAGCTCACCATTGTGTCTATTCAGGGACTGAGGAGCCCTCAGAAGTGACATGGATGACAAAGCAGGATGAAACCTTTTTCTGTACCTCAGTGGCTACTCAGAATTCTTGAGCACACAAAAGTCACTGTTCCACTGTCCTACGAGAAGGAGAAGTAGGGACACAGCCCAGCTCTTGTCAGGATCCTCTTGTGTTGACAGCTCTGAAATCCTGCCCAAAATCACTCTTGCCTGTCTCTCTGCATAGCTCAGGACTTCCCTGCAGGGAAGACAGCTTTGTCCACCATAGTTTTGCTCTCGCTTCATCTTTTCTTTCTGTATCATTTCCACGTGGAGCTGCTGACCTTCACTTTCTTGCAGGCACCACGGGGCAGATCACGGTCACCCAGGACGATGGACAAGTCCTCGTGAAGCAGGGACACCCCTTCCAGACCACCTGCAAATACCAGACCAGTGATTTTAATGCCTTGTCCTGGTACGAGCTGCGGCAAGGCCAAGCCCCACAGCTGCTCTCCTATCAAGCAGGCTCTGGCCCCAAGCACAGCGGCCGGATCACCACGCACCTGAACACCACGGGGAAATACAGTGTCCTGAAGGTGGAGGAAGTGCAGCTCTCTGACACTGCCTTGTACCTCTGTGCTGTGACAGACACCCCGGTGCAGGGAGCGTCCCCGGCTGTGCAACAACCCAGGGGAGGGACGGAGGGAGGGGAGGTGTCTGTGCAGGGCTGAGGCTGGGAAAAGGACGCTGCGCTCAGCCCAGGGCTCACCTGATGTTGCATCCCCACGGCTGTACAATGCTCTGATGATTTTGCACCACATCCATCCTAGCGAATTATCGAAAAAGAGTTTCTCATTGTTTTGACTCATCACTACATTGTGCAGAATCGTAGTAAAGAGGAGTTTCCCCTGTGCTTGCCTGGGACCTTGTCCTTGCACACTCCAGCCCTGCTTCTCTTGGTCCCACACGGCCTCAGCAGAGCCCAGGGCTGGGTGTGTGGTCCTGCCTTGGGTGCTCCTGCAGCAGCCCACGGTCAGGGCAAGTGAAAGGTAAAAGTGCCTGGTTCTCTAAGGCTCACATCACATCCATTTTCCTTTCAAGGGAAGAAAAAGGAAAGAGATAAAGAAAGTACAGATTGACACCTATGTGTCAGTAGGTGATAAGGGACAGAAGGAGGGAGCTCAGAGCTCAACAGCCTCTAATTGATGGCCCTTTAGGAAACAGTAGCTGTGCCTGTGAATTGCCTCAGGCTGAGCTTTGTCACTGACAAGGGCTTAGAGATGATGAGAGAGGAGATGGAATCCTCAGCAATGGAGACACTGGCACTGATGTATCTCTGGCATCAGCAGGAATGGTGGCAGGTTTCTCTTCTCAGCACTAATGCTGGCAGGAATCCCCATCTGCCTCTATGTGCCTTATCGTGTTCTCTCTGCTCTGAAGTGCAAAAAGGAAAAAGCTTTGAAGGAGCCCGTAGCATGAAAAACATTCACATGGAAAATCTGTGACACGCTCAGGACTCTCCACTACTTTAGAAACCTCCTTCTAAACCATGGGGAGGTGCAACAG